CACACAATCTATAAGTACCGGTAGCTCCGATTGCTAGATATAAGTCGAACTTGAAGTTTTTCATTTTTGGCAGTCAAAAATTTCAATGGTTTATGGCCGATATTATGTTATAGCATGTTATTGTAATAATACTGAAATAATAATATAAAAATGCACATTTAAACCATTTAGAGAAATTCTGGTCATTTTAAGGTTTTTGAGTAAAATTCTTGAAATGTAAAATCATATGATCTCAACAATTAAGATTTGATATCAAATTTCAGAAAAAGAGCTTATACTTTATTTAATCGACAGATGGTGTCCAGTGTATAAGGGTTTCACTGTATGTATACTTATACCATCAGCACGTGACCATATGGTCAGTTTTCGATTCCACGATCAAGAGGGGATCGCAATTATTTCTGCTAGACCAGACACCAGACTTCAGAGAGAGCGGAAGAGACGTTAAAAGAAAGAGATACTGGTAGTACTGGCCAACAGGTGAGCGAGTTAATTTGCCAGCAAGACAAATTGATGGGGATTGTGGAAAGGTTTTCTTTGTCTTTGTAGGTGTGTGTCCAAAGGTGTGTGAGTACGTGTGTGGGCTAGTTGGGCGATAAGCGGCGACTGCTTGGAAACAGATCAGAAAACTTATCCACAGTAGAGCCCATTTAGAGGGGACTTAAAGCTTTTCAGAAAATCAACATGGATGGAAACCAAATAAATATTTTTGTATCTAGTCTAGTTGAACAAATTTGAATTAGTAAATATTTATCTTTAAAACGAAGATACTAGGTTATCTTAAAATATTTATCAACTCAATAAATAAATTCCATTAAAATTGTATTCGAAAAAATGCACATTTAATGAAATTTACTGGAAAACAATACTATGAAAAATTTCAAATAAGTCAAATATATTCTTCTTTATTCTTTTTTGTTAATTACAAAATTCACAACTACCAATCTAGTCAAAGATAAGTTCATGAAATATAAAACCCAGCATTTATCGAATTAGTAAATCATAACTCTTATTGCAAATAATAAAAATATTTCTCAGAAACTTCTTGTTTCTAATTCAGCCCAAAAATTGTACTTTATTTGGAAAAGACAAATAAGATATAAGATAATTGTATCTAGTTAACGATAAAAGCTTAAATCTTCTTTTTATGATAAATCCAAAAGGCTTCTTCTATTCTTCTTCTATTAATGGCTCCTAAAGATCGTACCGAAAAGATAATACATTAAAAACCTTGGCTAGCTTTAAATATCCAGAGAGTCTTCCCCAACTAATAAATACTCATAGGATAGTCACTATCCTTAAAGATGAACTCACCTCCTGGGTGATGTCCAGTTCGTGACGCGTGTTGTCGTAGAGCGTCTCCAGTTCCTCGCACTTGTGCTGCAGGGCGGACTTCTCCTCGAGCAGGGACAATCCGTATTGTGCGGACTGGGCGCTGGCGGAGGATACCTGGTCCAGTTCGCGGGTGAGGCGCTCCACCTCCATTTGCAGATCCTGCACTGATTGGCCCTGCGACGCTCCATTGTCCGTGTTGCTGGGACTGGACATGATGGATGGATATCCTTTTTAGTGGGGGGAGTAGGGGGTGGTGGACGGTACAGCTGCCCGTGGGCGTGGCAGGTGATTTTGCTCGTTGTGTTTGTCCTGGGCGGAATCTTTTCGATACTTTTTGTTTTGGAGGGAAATCGATAAAAGTCGATTTGTTTATGCCGTATTTTCTTGTTGTATTTGTTGTGTTTTTTATCGGAGCCCCACTCAACAACTCCACTCGCGGTGTGCTTTTTGTGGTGTGCGTGCGTTTCACCTTTTCTCTTTTCCGTGTGTGTGTGTGCTTGTGAGTGGAATGGTATTCGTGTAGGTTTTCTGCTCTTTTTCTCCTCTCACCCCGCTAAATTACTAAATTAAACAGCACTTAATGGCCAATTAACCGTGTGCTTTTAACGGCAAATAATTCTGCACAGTATAAATATATGTAAATCACACACACACACTAGCGCACTCCCACACGCACACAGTGGCGCTCAAAAACAGTTGGCAGCAGAAAATCAAAATTGCAGCACAGGAAGTTGTTTCAATTAACTCGAAAAGAAACAGTCAAAATGACATCACACAATTTCCCCTTTCCGTTCGTTCGCTGGCGAAGTGGGAGTTTTTCCCATTTTCCCTGCGCTTTCCCCTGCTCGCCTGCTTTTTACGTATTTTCGTTGCACAATTGCGGCGTAGACGGCTGAGTTATTAGATTTAATCGGTCTTCGATGGAGGCGAAATTTTCAAGCAAGTGCAAAAACAAAAAATTATCCGCAATCACGTCGATTCTTGGCAATGTTTGTGACGGAATTTAGGTGCGACCGTACTTGAAAGTTTCAAAAATGCTCATCTCAAAGAAAACCCGATGAGAACGCCTCGAGCCGAGACTCAAACCTTGAAGGACAACTTATGGCCCGATTCCACTGGCACATATATTGGACATTGTGCAAATTTTGTGTATGCCATCAATGAATGGATGAAAACTGAAAATATATTTCAGAGAAGAGTATTCTGGGTGTTCCCAAAAATGTTGAAAATTTAACAGACAGTTTCAATATTTGAGGGAACGGCCCAAAATGGTTCTTGTTGCATTTTCAAAGAGCTGTTATTTGCTCAGAGGTTTCACGGAACCCGAAACATTTTAAATACTATTTTTATTGTTAGTTACTTTCTAAAATTGTTAGCGAGGTAATTGTTAGTAAGTTAGAACTCCTAATAGACTTTCTATTTTGATTTTAAAGTAAATATTGCGAACTGATGATAGTAAAATGTTGCAAAGTGGACTTGACTTTCAGTAAAATAAAAAAACATCTCTAAAAAAAAAAAAAATCGAAATTTCTGAAAGTTTACTTTTTACGGAACAGCTTTAGGGCATATCCTGATAAATTTAAAAATTTACGTACTTTAATAAAAAACATTACTGTAATAAAAAAAATTAATTCAAATGTATACCAATTTTGAAAATAATTTGAAAACATCGTTCAAAAACGCCGAGTTCTGAAAATAAAAGCCGATAACAACAATGAATGTACCTGTTCCGATAAACGCCCACAGGGTCACACTAAAATTTTGACAGCTACAATTCACACTCACATTTCGCCTAATCACATTTACTTTTTAACTAGCCAGCCGAAATCGAGATAAATACTACTAACTTACTAGAGCCAAAATGCCGGACGCAGTGCAGCAGAGTTTCGTGCGGAGCTTTATCGACTACCTGAAGAAGCAGGTGGACGTGATGTCGCCGGACCAGAGCGAGAGCATCGAGGTGGCGATCCAGTGTCTACAGGCGGCCTTTGACGTGGGCGATGATGTGGATGCGGCGGCGCAGGATGCCGCTGGCCAGGAACAGGCCGCCACACAGAGCAGCACATCGAGTGCCCCCGGCGATGCGGTGGCCAGCGGGAGCGCCGGCCTCGCCCCCAAAAACATCGACATGTTCGAGCTCTTCCAGTCGCTGTACATCGAACGCAATCCGGAATCCCTGGCTCTGGCCGATTCCATCAAGAACGAGGGCAACCGGCTGATGAAGGAGTGCAAGTACAACGAGGCCCTGCTGCAGTACAACCGGGCCATTGCCTTCGATCCCAAGAACCCCATCTTCTACTGCAACCGGGCGGCGGCCCACATCCGGCTGGGCGACAACGAGCGCGCCGTCACCGACTGCAAGTCCGCCCTGCTGTACAACACCAACTACAGCAAGGCGTACTGCCGCCTGGGCGTGGCCTACTCCAACATGGGTAAGTTTGCGGAGGCGGAGCAGGCCTACGGCAAGGCCATCGAACTGGAGCCGGACAATCCGGACTACAGGAGCAACCTGGAGGTGGCCAGGAACGCCAGGAATCAGCCGCCGCAGCTGTCGCACCTGACCGACGGCCTCAACGCCATGCTGGCCAATCCCACGGTGCGGAATCTGTTCAGCAGCGCTGAGATCGATTTGGAGCAGCTGCAGTCGATGACCCAGAATCCGATGGTAATGAACACGATTGGGCAGCTCTTCGCCAACATGGGTCAGCCGAATGCCGGAGGAGCGGCCGCTCCTGGTGGCGCCCCTGGAGCTCCTGGCGGTGCTCCACCGCAGATTCCGGCCATGCCCAACGATATGCTGCAGCTGTTCCAGAGCTTTGCCAGCCAACTGGTGGGCGCCCAGCAGCCAGGCGGCGGAGCCAATCCGAATGCCAATCCTGGCAACGGGCAGCAACCGGGAAACCAGCCTCCGCCGAGCATCTAGTGGGCGGGCGATCCCATAAACACAGATTAAGTTTTTAAGCGGAAACTATAATTATTGTATTTTTAATGTTTAAAAGGCTTCTATTACGCATATACATATATATATTTTTATTAATGGTAATAAATATATACGTGCAAAATACGAGGCCTTGCAAGTGCAATTTCTCACTGTTCTAATCGAATTCTCCATGGGTTTTCTGGCCAAAGGGGTTGCATAATGTTCCATAATACAAAATCAACTCGTCATCGATTTATATAATGCATAGGATAACACCAAGATTCCCCGCCATTCTTTTCGGTTATTAAATAAAACACTTATTAAAAAGTGCATGTAATTTAATGTTGCTTTTATTGAATTCAAGAAATGTATGCTTTCTGTGTGCTTTTTGCTGACTTGCATCTCTACGTGGTACAATTGTTGATTTGATTACATGTTAAATAAAAACTAATAGGTTTAAAAAACAAGACTCGATTTCACAAACAAGTTGTTGTTTGAAAATTTCTTTCTTCAAATCGGAAAACTAATTTTTCTCCCGACTTGAAACTATGTTTTATAGATTGATATTGCAGAATTCGTTCAACTGGTTAACGTTATAATCTTATATTTATGCATTTGACAGAATCGAAAGTGGAGCGTGATATAAATTCAAAACGATGCCAGCGCCCCTTTTTGTGGGAAACGTATGAGAAGAGGGCGTGGCGCGGTTTGGAAACTTTCACGCAAGTTGTGGCAAAGACATTTTTCACGAATATAATAAAAGCAATGCGTGAGTGTATGAGAAAAATGATTGTTGTAATGTTGCATTTACTTTCCAAGAGAATATAATTGCGCTGAAAAGAGACGGAAGGGAGAAAGTTAATGGGAAATTAAATGTCATACTCACCGTAAATCTCTGGGATAATTAGATTCTCTTGTTTCCGTTGCATCATCATTTAAGTTCTGTTTATTCTGCACGAATCCAATCTGTGGTAGTTTTTTTTAATTTTACGGACTAGGGACAAACCATTCAAGTGAAGTACTCGCTGCTCCTTTTCTGCTTCTCTACTTTGTTTACTTAGTACTTATTGAAGCGCCGATTTCTGTAGTTTCCTCCTCCACCGCCGCCGCCGCCTCCGCGTTGTCTCGTCCTGTTGTTGTTGCCATAGTTTTGGTTAACCTTGTTTGAGTATTTTCCAGATGGCGGCGAGTAGAACTTCTGGTCGTTGGATGGCCGCGGCTTCTTCTCTGGCTCCTGATCCTTTTCCTTGCCGTTGGCAGCTGCTTTTTCCCCAAAAGTGATGGGAGCATGGCGCTTGCCAAGCTTGGTCTTTAGGTTCAAGAGGATTCCGTTGTTTATATACATTTTTTACGGATCTATAAACTGTATACATACATTTTTTGGCACAATCCAGGAGAGGACAATATCATGTTTAAATATGGGCGGCGAATGGAATAGATCCCGTATCAACACGTTGATATTTGATGTAGTCTTCAGTGCAGTTTGCTTCAATTGGTTCTCCTCCGTCTTTAGCTCCTCCCCAGTCTTTCCCTTCAGCGCCTCTTCCAGCTTCTTAATATAACTGAAAGAGGAGTAAATAAGTTAGTTTTTAGCTTAAGGAATAGTTTCTCTGAAACCTACCCCTGTGTTCCCCTGGCTAGATATTGCAATCTAGCCCGAAAGTCTTTCAACTTTTCGGCGTCCTCGACGAAACTTAAACTATTTGGATGGTTCTTGCCCAGCGTGTGCAGAGCGTACAGTAAGCACTCGGCGTGCGAGAACTGAAACGAGGGCGGGGTATCCCCCAGATCCTCGTCGCTCAGCTTGGGCAATGGCATGTATTCCTGAAAAATGTCAATATTTTTCGTGTTATAGTCCCGTTTGGTGGATGATTTGCGATGCAAACTCACCAGTAATACATGGTAGACTGCATTAATGCGTTCGCTGGCATTCTCCAGCTTGTCTGTGTTGGTTATCATCTCGGCGAATACCTTCAGTAATCTGAGTTGAATTTGATCTTGCGACACTGCAGTGGCGATCATGTTCCAGGTCTTGATGGGCAGCAGTTTATCGCAAACGTGAGCCACAAAGGCCGTTGATTTTATGGTTTTCTAAATAAGTAGTAAGTGATTAGATTAGAAAGTTTGCAAAAAGTATAAAATTGATCGCAAGGTCTTGAAAACATACCGAAAAGTAGGGCGACGCTGCACTGGCACACTGTATAAATCGCTCCACGACCTCATCGTCGACGGCAATGATGTCCGTGTCTGTGCTATTGAGCTCCGCCTGTTCCGTGGCCAGCTTGACGAGCTCGGCGTGTCCGGTGATGGTGCTGCCCAGCTTGGTGGCTCCCAGAATGGTCATGCATAGATGGAACTCGTCAGCAGTAACGTCCTGCAGGGCCTTCTTGATCTCCTCCACAATGTAGTCCTCTATTTCCTTGGTTATAACAGCTGGGCCCATGGTCAGCAGCTTGGTGGCGATGAACTTGAGGCATCGCTCCCTTGTCGTCTCATCCCCGGTGGTGATCTGTTGGAACAATCCGGTGACGGCGCTCTTGGTGTCCAGCTTAATGACAGCCAGGAGCGAGTTGTTGACCTGCTGTAGCTCGGTGGCATCGTCGAGGATCAGCAGCTGGGCCAGAGTGTCGCCCACTCGAATGGTGGCGTCAGCGTTTCCCTGACAGAGTTTCGGCAGATCCTTGATGGCCTGTCGGCGGATCTGAAGAGATGATAGTTGGTTATTTAGGTGGTGTTTAAAAACGAAAGAATGTTATTACAGGATTTGACTGATTTTAGAAAAATTGAAGGAGAAATGTTAATACTAATCAATGTTTGTAATGTCATCTAGCTTTAATGTGTTTGCAATAGAAGAATGTAATTAAGAAATTTATTTATGTTCATGAACTTATCAAATTGACTATGACTAGTCACTAATTTATAAGTATTTTTTGTACTTTTTGTACTAAAAAGAAATAAGACCAAAATTAAATTAAAATTAATTATACTTGGGATGCAATAGATCGAAGATGCTTGCAAATTCACACCATTTGTTAATCATATCATACTACAAAGATATGATATAAAGCCTAATATAGTATTCCAATCTGACACTATTGTAATCTAAAGTCAGCACTTTTGGAAGTTGGTCGTAAGGATTTAACGGATGCCGGTATAAATATCGAATACCATAAAACCACTATATCATCTAGTTGACTTTAAAGGTTTAATAGGGCTCCACCCACCTGTGTGTCGTCATCTTCGCACAAATCGAACTGTGCATCGATGGCTGTGTCGGCCAAATCCGGAAAATGTTTGAAGAAGTTCCCGATGAACTGCGATGCCAGGCGCTTCTCCTTCGATGAGCCCTTCACGGCCTTAAGTATCTCTTTATATTCATCCACATGCTGCAAGATCAAAAAATATCTATCTTATATACCGTTTTTTCCGGCACGTTTTGCAATGGCGGCTTACCTCGGATATTTTATCGCCCGCCTCGGACAGAATTTCGTAGCATTTGTACAATCGCTCTATGTTGTCCATCTTCTTACCCGTTATTCTCTATAGCTGCAGTGTTTTGAAGCGATTCCAGTCAGTTTTAAACCCTTTTTAGTTTAGTTAAAGTAAGCGACAGCGTTTTTTCCCTCTAGTTTTCACGTTGCAAACAAAATGGTGAGCGGATAGTGTGACCGGAGGTGGGAGTGAAAATCATGCCACTGTCAAAGCAATCGATAGTCTATCGATATTTTTAAGATAACGAATATCATTTTTAAAATTTATTTTAAATTCTCCAGTTAAAACATTTTTATTAATAGTAAAATAAATAATATGACTAAATTTCAGTGCTTAAATTTTTAAAAATGTTAAACATTTTTAGTAATAGTAAAATTAATAATATGACTAAATTTCAGTGCTTAAATTATTAAAAATGTAAATGCAACACATTTACTATTTTACTACTTCAAGTAAACCGCAATATTTTGAATTAATAAAGAGAGCTAGAATTTATTTTTAGATAAATTATAACCTTTATTTAGTTCTAGTTAATTAGCACAAATAACACTTATGGAATCGCCTTTAAGGCCTGTTCAAAGTACTCCACCATCATGGGGTAAACTTCGTCGTATTGCTGGATATTCTTCCGTCTGGCATTGTCCCGATACCGCTGCAGTGCACCCGAAATCAGCTCCAGCTTCTCCCGCTCCGCCGTGTGGCCATCTAACCATTCGATAAGGCGCTCGTTAGACCAGTTGGCTGTGGTATGTGGCGACTGGAGATCCGCTCCAGCGTGTCCGAACAGCAACAGCAGCACTATATAACTGGGTACCAGAGAATCCTCCCCGATCGTCTGCTTCACCAGTTCCTGGGCCGTTTGCACGATCAGCAGCGACATGGCTCTTAGCAGGCGAGATGGCTTTCCGAGTTCGGCGAGATTGGGACAAAGGGGCTTTAAAGCTTGCTCCATGTGCTGGCAGTCCTGCTTCAAACGCTGCCTTCCCGCCGCACTCAAGGGACGCAGAATGCACACGTTGTGCAGGAACAGTTCGATGCATCGCTTCGCCAGCTCGTGGCCACATTTTGTAGTCATCTGCTTGTCATCGAACAGGGCGATGTGATGCGACCAGGAACGGTTGACAAACTCCTTAGGAATTAAAGAATAAAGAACATGAAAATCACTATTAACCAAGTTCAAAATCCCACCCACCTGTAGTTCCTTCATATACATCGAGGGCCCCGTGGTGGACAGCCTCTCCGTGTTTAATCCCGGCTCCCTGTGCATGCTCAGTATAATAATGCTTATAGTGGTAATAATGGACTCCATGATCTGCTGCAGAATGGTGCCGATGAGCAGATCAGCCTGCTCCAGAGAGCGCAATATGCTTTCCCTGGCGCTTCCCGGGGTCTTCTCAAACTGAACTTGAAGATCGCTCAGCATGCGACGCACTGAATCTTTGTAATAGTACAAAACATTCGCCAACTGTGTGTTTTGTTGTTGCTGCAGATTTGGTAGGTCCACAACTTGCTTGGAATCAGCTCCCAGCTTGATTTGAGCCTCTAGTTTTGTGCACAATTCCTTTCCGCAGGCCACAAACACATTCGCTATGGAATTTGTGAGACGGGAATCGATCAAAGCGGCACTCAGTTCGGTGGAAGCCACCCGAATAAAGTTGTCCACTGTTTCGTTGCCAGGCAAATCGACTCCCGCCAAACAGGCCTTAAAGTTGGCCGCACATTTGCTAACGTAACCCACTTCCAGAGGGGCGAACAGCTCGTTGTCGAACTGGAACTCGCCATTCAGACGCTGTTCCAAACCTCGAGCGGAGGTCAGAAGCTTAGAGAGTCCCTCCTGCAGCGTCTGTGTTACATGCTGAGAGCATTCATCGAAGGATTTTCGCAGGAGCTGCTGGACCTGCTTCCAAAACCGCTGCGGGATGCACTGGTCCGAGGCCTCGGAAGTGTAACCAAACTGGTTTATCTGCTCCAGAGCCGTCTTGAGCAGCTTGATTTGCGTGCAGGTCTCAAAGAGTTCGTCGTAGAGCAGCCAGTGCAGGGATTTCCAGAACTTTGCCCGGAAGTTCTGGGTGGTGGTCAATTGTGGAGTTTTTCCCGGTCCCCTCGAGGGTGCCGGTTTGCTAACACTGTGCGTCGGCGACTTATTCAGCACGGATATATCGTTGCCGGCAAAACATTCCTTGAGCGATTGCTCCATGTCGGCGATAAAGGTGGCAAGCAGGTTTTCCAGGGATTTCTCCAGCGTATTGAAGTTCATGAAGATCTGTGGGATTACTAAATAAGTTACTCATTCCATTTATAAGCTCTCTGATTTCACCTTTAAAGCATTAACCACTTGATTTTGATTGCGCTCCTGCAGGCCAGTGACCAATTGCATCTGCGTGAGGTTCCTTATCTTCTGACCCGAACTGATCACATAGGCTCGCTCCTGCTGGATGAACTCCAAGTCCTTCAGCTCTTTGTCCTCGATTAGTTGTCCCAGTTCGAAGTGCAGCTCCGCCTGACGCAGGACATCCTTGGTGCCCTTCAACTTGGCCGTGAGGGTCAGCAGGGTTCCGGCCGAGCGGAGGAGGTGACTGACATCGTGAAGGCGACCGAGCACCTGCGTCTGGTTCTCCACCTGCTGGTACTGCGTGTCCACCTGGCTCTTCAGGCGATGTCCCGTCTCCCTGACCCGCTGCACATCCTCAGCGAGTGTATTTAGAGCCGCATCGAATCGTCCTGCGTGGGTGGCCTGCTGCAGGAGAGCTCCATGCTTATCCCGCACCTGCTGGTGCAGCTCCTCCTTGGTGTTTTGCAGTTGTTTCGACAGCTCCTGGATCTGCTGGCCAATTGTTAGGTGGGACATTGCAGCGGTGTAGTCGTCATCATCTGAACTTGTGGTGTTCGTGTTTGGGGGCTTGGTAGCGCCCGGATCCCCGGTGACCATGATGAGGGATACCTTTATCTAGGAGAGTAACAACTAGATAAATGGATCTTGCTTTAAAATCTGTTAGTTAATGCAATTTTACTTTAGTACAATCAAAATGTTTTTCCACGCAATCAAAAGCGGCCTCCAATCGATAACTTTGCAGGGGTGTAGGCTTAAAATGATTAAGGGGGTTTTGTTTTTTAAGAAGGTATCTTATCGCTGGGGCGCTGGTTTAAGTTATAAGTTTAATAATTAAAGACAATACAATGAGGGTATTCCCTAAACTGTTGAATTGCTGAATCATTAAAAACCCGAGATATCACGTTTTTTGCAGCATTTTACTAACATCACGTCGCATTATTTAGTTTAAACTCAAATTAGAAGGTCTATTAGTAGTTCTTCTTACCTTGCTAACAATTTTAGACAGTAATAAACAATATATAATCGAGTTTAACTGGTTTTAAGTTCCGTGAAACAAATAACGGCTGTTTAGAAATTCGACAAAAACCAATTTGGGTCGTTCCCTCAATTGCTGAAATTTTCTGTTGAATTTTCAACAATTCAACAGTTTAGGGAATACCCTGAATATTTTTATACCCTTGCAGAGGGTATTATAATTTCAGTCAGATGGTTGCAACGCAGTGAAGACGTTTCCGACCACATAAAGTATATATATTCTTGATCAGCACCAATAGCCGAGTCTATCTAGCCATGTCAGTCTGTCCTTCTGTCCGTCTGTCCGTTTCTATGCGAACTAGTCTCTCAGTTTTAAAGCTATCGCGATGAAACATTCCCGAAAGTCTTCTTTCTATTGCGGGTAGTACATATGTCGGAGCGAGCCGGATCGGACCACTATATCTTAAGGCTCCCATAGGAATATTCAGACAAATATAAGAAAATTCATTGTAACTTTGTAGGAAGTAGGCGTTTTGATTCTTGACTACTTAAAAACAAAATTTAAATAGAAACGCTGAATCTGGAATCCCTGGAACTGCACCGAGTGAGCATTACTTTATCTGCAAGGGTATATAAGCTTCGGCTGGCCGAAGGTAGCTTCCTTTTTTGTTTTTATATTTTTTAAATCTAAATATGTACTTATACAGTTTATGCATAGTATATTCTGACCCCCCAAACTACGCCCTTGTTTTGTCTTATCGATAGATTGAGTCAGCTGTTGCTCGGTTTGTTTTGTGTAAATAATTGGATGCGGAGAAAAAACTTAATTTTATTGTTAAAAGTCCTGTGTTTTCACGCCTTCACACATTCTCCATGTCGGACGACATTAAGAAGTATTTAGACGGCCTGCTGCAAAAGTAGATACTCATTTTCAAAAAGGTTTTCCAAATTATTAAACCTATCTTATTTTCCCCTGAAGGGTCAGCGGTCTGTACGTGATTCAGATTACGGATCGCGATGGGGTGCCCCTCCTTCGGGTCAGCCAGGAGAAGAACGTGGACTTCGCCCTGATGCCCTCGTTCATTCCCACATTCACCACCGCCTGCGACCAGGCGAGCAAACTGGGTCTGGGCAGGAACAAGACCATCATCTCCATGTACTCCAACTACCAGGTGGTCCAGATGAACAAGCTTCCGCTGATCCTGACCTTTGTGGGCGCCGAGAACTGCAATACGGGCCACATCCTCGCTTTGGAGCACCAGGTCGATGGCTATTTGGAGGACATAAAGCTCGCAGTCACCGAGGCATAGAATTAATCTACCCTGTAATTTGCATACTTTTTAAAATTACTAAATGTTTATACTTTATTGAAAATTAATTGTGTTGGGGAAACATCTGTATTGAAAAGGATCCTTAAGCTGCCCCTGCGGATTTATTTTGTACCTTGTCAAAACGACTGTTTAAAAGTAGTTTTCAATATACGAGATGTAGACACTTTATTTAAACTGAAAATTTACTTAAATGCATACATTTTTTTGTATTTTGTGGGATCAAAATAGTTGGGATTCATTTTATTAAGATCTTGTCCTAGTTCCTCTCATACAATATCTTTTTACTACAATTTCAAACTTCTTTGTGCTATTACAAAACTATTATGTATGTCCCCACAATGAAACCAGAATCTTTTTGATGTTATATTCGCTACAACTCAAAGGGAATGCATTCAACAAAAAAATATGATATTTTACTAAAGCACATTTCAATTATCATTCAACTTTAGTTTTTCAAAAATACTAGGTGTTTACACTTTATTCAGAATGAAACTTGATGTACTTTTTGCTTAAATGCATACACTGAATTAATTTACTACAATTCTTGATGGTTTTCCTGCTACAGTTTGGGAATGATCTCGACAAAATTAATATTCTCCTTTAAAACTAAAATACAATCCCCAAATCTCTGATCTTCGTGTGCCAAGCACACACATCCTCGATTGCTGATCCTTTCAGAGTTCGTCGTGCAGGTTTTCCGATTCCGCCTGGAAAGCTTCGCTGTCGCAGGCAGCAGGAGTTTCGAATTCAAAGTAATATTCACAGCGATTCGGCTCGCTGACGGCAGTGATCTTGGGTTCCAGAGCGCAGCTGATGTTGATAATGGCCGAACGGTTCGGGCCATTCCAGCAGCCGGCTCCATTGGCGTACTTTTGCTGCGAATACTTTTTGGGCTCGCCAATCCATTTGTCCCAGCGACCCAGCGTTGTTTCGGGTCCCCCGCTTCTCGACTTCTGAGAGGCGCGATCGAAGGGGCACAGGGTGTAGACATACTCCCGGTCCTCGAAGTTGTAGCACTGGCCATCGTGAACGGCCCACTCCTCGGTCAGGCCGTAACCCTTGTTGTTCTGTTCGTCGATCTCCTTGACCTCCTGCTCGATCTCGCGCAGGCTGCGTTCGACTTCCTCGAGAGCATTTCGCGCCTCGTTCGCCTGCTGGATCAGACGCTGGGTCTCAGGATCGTAATTCGGCGGCGTTACATCCTCCACATCCGGAGAGGCCTCGCCTACGCCCACATCGGGCTCCTCGTCGTCGTACTGATCCTCCTCGCCCTCTTCGTCGGCTTCGATCTCTTCTTCGCCAGCCAGTTCAGCTTGTTCTGTAAAAGTATTATAAATATTATTGATTGGTAAGGAAAAGGAATAGTAAGTAAACAGTTCATTTTAAGCAGGGTTAGGAAAATAACACACTCTGTAAAAAACTTGTTTTATTAACATGTTAAATGACAAAGTGTTAAGTTCAAAAAAAAGGTAAAAGGTAAAAAGGTATCCCATGTGTGTAAAAAATGTTAGCTCACATATGTTAGAAACATAAACAACACACACAGTTTATTTGTGTTATTTACACGACGTGTTTTTTACACAACGTGTTTTTAACACAATGAGTTTTTGACATTAAAACGTCAGAAATATATGCTTTGAAACGGTTAAAAATAACAATTAAGATATCCTGGCCCAATATTGATTTTTCATTTTCTCTTCGATTCGTTAATGTCCATAAAATATAATTATCATTTGTGTTAAAAACACAGTGTGTGAAAAACACGTCCTGCTAATAACACATTTGTAAAAAACACAAGTGAGCTGTGTGTGCTAACAATTATTTTTCACATTTTAACACTTTTGTTTTTGACACACATGACAAAAACTTTGCTCACACTGTAAAATACAATTTGACATGTTTTAAACATGTGTGTTTAATTTTTAAGCCCGCCTAGCAGTAAATCAAATATTGATTCAACTGGAGGTGTGGGAAAAGAAAGTATCTGCTTAATATTGCAATACATTCTGCAGGGTTTTTAATTATTAAAAGCCTTTGTTACCTTCGCTTAGCTTTGCCGGTGTAGGCTGGATAGCTTCGGTGGACACTTCCGCCTGCTCGATCTTAGGCTCTGGGATGACTTCCTCCGGCTGCGGCGGCTGAAACAGACCCTCGGCCAGCATTGCCAGCGGCTTAATTCTTGGCCAGGCTAGAGTGACGAAGGCATCCAGATCCACTCGCTCCCGTTCGTCCAAGAAATACTTGGCCTCCTCCACGGTTACCACGCCGTTGCGATCCCTGTCCAGATTCATGTCCACCATCAGTTCGGTGACCTCCACGAAACCATCCTTGTTGGTGTCGTAGCTAACGAAGCTCAGGGAGGCCTCCTGGCGCATCTGTTGCGGCTCCTGCTCCGTCTGAGCCGTCTCCGCACCCACCTCCCGCTGCTGTTCCTTGAAGATTTCAATGGCCTCGGCCTCCAGACCCTCGGCGGTTTGTTTCAGCTGCTCCTTTTCGGAGCGCAGCAGCTCCTGCTCCTTGCGGCGTTGGTCTAGCTCAAGGCGGCGAGCCTCCCGCTCCGCCTTCATCTGCTTGCCACGGGTGATCATCTCCAGACGCCGCTCGGCTCCTCGTTTGTGCAGCTCCGCTTCGTTGCGCCTTTGGGCAGCAGCCGCGGCACCGAGTTCCAGGCAGGTGTTGGGGCAACCAAGCGCCTGTGATTCATCGCTGCCGTCGCAGCAGTCGCAGATGCCGTCCTGCACCCGGGAACTGGGTATATTCACCGACTGGTGGCCCTTGTTCAGGCAGTGGAACTGGCCCTGTGGACAGGCCGAAGTGCCCGGCTCATCGCTTCCGTCCGCACAGTCGCAGTAGTCGTCGTTGATCTGGGAGAAGGGTATGCTCCGGCTGCCGTCCAAGCAGGTCCAACTGTTGTCGCCAGCCCGTGGCTGGTACAGTGAAGCCTTGGCCAGTGAGACTCCCAGAGGACGTGGAACTTCGCTGGCGGAACCTGCGCTCAGGCTCAGTAGGGTCACCACAAGCGGTATTAGAACCATTTGGCTGACTCCCAAGCCTTGCATTTTAGCGGTGTTTATTTCTAGTCCTAATTAATCACCTAATATGAGTTGGTCGCCGTGAGCAGTAAATCTTACGTGGAATTTGCTATGGTTTTTTTACGACTCGTAAAATGCCGGTGCAGCACTATCGATGGCAGTGATGACAACTATCGATAACAGCAGCCAGGGGTGTGCACCAGAATTGTTAAGGGGGATCTTGCTTATACAAAGCAATAATTTGGGATTGCAGTACTCTTTTTTAAAAAAATTGATTTATATAATGAAACGATTGATAATAAAATATGTTAAGATGCTACATTTTTGAAATTTTTTTTTTATATTTAGGTAATACAAATGGATTTTAAAGTAAAAATTGGGTATTGGTGATACTATAATGTTACAGAGTTGCCAAGGCTTTCTTATATAATTAGGTGAAAACTGTGGCTTTCAACGATTTAAATTACTTATGTAAATATCTAAAAACGTAATTTCTTTGAAACAGCTGTATATTGCAATTCAACAGTTTAGCGAATACCCTAATTATTTACTGATAAAAGATTGGCGGCCCCCTGCTACGCCACTGACAGTTCAGCGGTGTGGCAACTCCCTCCAATCAGCTGCCGGTTTGTTATTTAACCAGAGCGGAGTAGCAAAGAACCCATAAAACAATGGAATTCCTGACTAAAGTGTGGGCCAAGGAGGCAGTCCCTCTAGCTGAGATAGAAGCAACCGCCGAACCAGCGCAAAAAAAGCCAAATCCAAAGACTGATTCAACGCCTGCAAGTAAAGAATCCTCTGGAGAAACTACCACCGCTCAGAAGGATTGGGGTTATGACTTATATCCGGAGCGGAGAGGAGAAACCTTCAAGCCCAAATGGACCAAGGTGTTGTTCGGCATGGAGGGCCAGGAGAACCTAGATCGCTTCAAGTGCGAGGAGAATGTCTATTGGTGTGTCAAGAACGGTCCCCTGGTGAAACTGATGATGGGCGCCTTGAAGAGCTCCGGTTGCCCCATCGATCTGCGTCGCCACATCTCCTGCGAGGTGTGCGATTCCTCGGTCACCGGCGGCTACGATCCCAAGCTCAATCAGATTGTGGTGTGCCAGAATATGGCCAAGAATAAGAGCATGGTCCACGGAGTGCTCACCCACGAGATGATACACATGTTCGACTACTGCAATAACGATATGGACTTCCGGAACGTGGACCATCTGGCCTGTACGGAGATTAGGGCGGCGAACCTGGCCCATTGCTCCTTTTTGAGCGCCATGTTCCAAGGAGATGCCTCGCCATTCAATGTCAAGGAGGCGCATCAGGTGGGTGTTGTATATTTGACTTATTAACTGCTGGAGAAGTCCAACTTATGAAGGGAATCTGCAAGCTTTAGAAAACTTTGCAATTTTCGAGATATTTAAAAAAATAATTAATAATAATTAAATATGGGCACTTCCACCAAAAGGTCCACCAATCCAAAAACCTTTAAGCTTGAACGAAACATATTTCCACATAATTTTACCGCCATATAAGTTTCTAATTAGTTGGATCCTGAGCTAAACTAAAAATTTGGAGTATAGTTTGATTATTATACCCGTTACTCGTAGAGTAAAAGGGTATACTAGATTCGTGCAAAAGTATGTAACAGGTAGAAGGAAGCGTTTCCGACCCTATAAACTATATATATTCTTGATCAGGATCACTAGCCGAGTCGATCTAGCCATGTCCGTCTGTCCGTCTGTCTGTCCGTCTGTCCGTCTGTCTGTCTGTATGAACGCTGAGATCTCGGAAACTATAAAAGCTAGAAGATTCACATTTTGCATGCAGATTCTAGGAGTTCCTACGCAGCGCAAGTTTGTTTCAAAAGGGTGCCACGCCCCCTCTAACGCCCACAATCGCTTATATACGATTTTAAAAATGTCAATATTTCGGAAAAGTAAAAATGCAGTTTTATGGTGTTTATCAGTACCTATCGAAATGTAGAAGAAATTTTTTTAATCGGACCATTCGTTTAAAAGTTACGGCGGATCAAAGTTTTTATCTCCATCGCCTTCGCACTTCCGTTAGCTGAGTAACGGGTATCTGATAGTCGGGGCACCCGACTATAGCGTTCTCTCTTGTTTTTATGATAAACCCCATCAATATACGCAAAAGTTAATTTTTGGCTAATTTTTGAGTAAAGCCAAAACCATTTCACAGCGACATGTTTGAACAACATTCTAAAATATTCGCATTTAAATATTCCATCAGAATCCGGTAATTTCTGGTGTTGAATGAACTTATCCAAAATCCTCTTAGTTTTGTCCCGAACGAATACGGCAGCTTTTTAACGATATCTTAAAAAATAAAAGTGGTAGAAAATCAAGATTTTTACACAAAATAGAGATTGGAAAGAGTAAAAAAAATGCCGATTATTAAAATTAAAACTATTTTTTTCAATTTTGTTTTTAACTTGAAAGGTGTGCAATGCCAATATTCTTTTTAGGATTGCCAAATTTACAATTTTTTTGAATTTAAGAAACTGTTTAATCTTTTTTGACTTCCATTCCAGAACTGCGTCAAGTCAAAAGCCCTGGCCTCAGTCCTGGCTGTTCGTAATATAACCAAAGCCGATGCCATCGCTGCTGTGGAAAGAGTGTTCCCGAAATGCTATGCCGATTTGGAGCCCATTGGCCGGAGAATCCGACGCAATTCCACCGACCAGCAAAAGGCCTACATGGAGGCACCCTTGTACGGCTATGATGTATATTAAATTGTTATATATGATTTCGTTTTTAAGTACCCACACAAAAAACTTAAATAAAACTATGTTTTAAGCTATGGACATTTTGAATGTCACGCTGCCAGACAGTTTTATATTTAAAACTAAACGGTTGGTTATTAATTAAATTATGTACCATTATCTGTATGTATCTGTTTTCACCAAAAAAATTGCATAAAAAACCAACGATTTGTGCAGCTCCGCTTCGTTGCGCCTTTGGGCAGCAGCCGCGGCACCGAGTTCCAGGCAGGTGTTGGGGCAACCAAGCGCCTGTGATTCATCGCTGCCGTCGCAGCAGTCGCAGATGCCGTCCTGCACCCGGGAACTGGGTATATTCACCGACTGGTGGCCCTTGTTCAGGCAGTGGAACTGGCCCTGTGGACAGGCCGAAGTACCCGGCTCATCGCTTCCGTCCGCACAGTCGCAGTAGTCGTCGTTGACCTGGGAGAAGGGTATGCTCCGGCTGCCATCCAAGCAGGTCCAACTGTTGTCGCCCGCCCGCGGCTGGTACAGTGAAGCCTTAGCCAGTGAGACTCCCAGAGGACGTGGAACTTCGCTGGCGGAACCTGCGTTCAGGCTCAGTAGGGTCACCACGACCGGTATTAGAACCATTTGGCCCTGCATTTTAGAGGTGATTATATGATTATGATCTCCCAATTTGAGTTGGTCGCCGTGTGCTGTAAGTCCAACGTGGAATTTTCTATGGTTTTTTTTTAAGAGTCGTAAAATGCCGGTACAGCACTATCGATGGCAGTGAAGACAACTATCGATAATTTGAATTACATGTATTCCCATTGTTGCTTCATTTGTAAATTTATCCGGATTTAGACCCGAAACCCGTAGTGATCCTCGTTGTTGCCTGTGAGAAAGGTCGCGAGTCTTAGTTTTCGGCTGGGAAGTTTACAGAGCATGTTTACTTACCGTTTGGCCTGTCCCCTCTTTTCCCCAGGAGCTCCCCAGGACTAGGTGACCCAAAACACGAATAGTGTATGTCCTTGCTTGCGCCTCGTTTGACTGTAAGCTCCATTAATACATGACCGGTGGAGCATACTTTTCGCGGCGCCTGTCGCCTTTTCCAAGGCAAGCGAATTCTCCGCTTTGACCGCGTACATTTGGAGACGGCGGCCAAGTTTGGCCTTGAAGGCTGAAGAAGAATTAGTTAATAGGAGAATAACAATAATAACAATGTTAAACACCTGTACATATGTATCGCTGTGTGACTCCGACTGACTGAAAATGGGTCATACCTTTGCAGAATCCTCCGTGGCATCCTTGGTTAAGTGGGCATGCTTGGCTAGGTCAACAATAGCCACCAAAACCTCACAAATTTTCCGTCGTTTATTTGTTTACTTTTTGTTTGTTAGTGATGGCCGATAGTCTTGTGATGTGAGACCGCGAAGTCATCGATGCATAGGTTGCGAGCTGTAGAATTAGGGGGACACCGCCCTGAGATAATAGGGGAATTCCCTAAACTTTTGAATTGCTGAATTGTTGAAAATTCAACAAAAAATTTCAGCAATTAAGGGAACGACCCAAAATGGTTCCTATTGAATTTTCAAACAGCTGTTATTTGTTGAAAAATTTAACGGAACTTTAAGCATGTAAAATTAGATTTATTATTGCTAGTTACTGTCTAAAAGTGCTATAAAGGTAAAAAGAACCACAAATATGCTTTCTAAGTTGATTTTAAAATAAATAATTTGTACTGGTGATACTAAAATGTTACAGAGTTGCCACGACTTTTAAAAAAAGGTGACAACTCTGGCTTTTTAGCAATTCAACAAAATTTTCAACAGCCCCAAGGCTGTTGAATTGCTGAAATTTCTGAAAGTTGACTTTGTATGGAACAGCTGAATAACAGCTGACCAAAATTCAACAATTCAGCAACTCAACAGTTTAGGGAATCCCCCTAAAACTAAGCTAGCGGCTCTGCCAAAAAAAAAATTTTTATTTTTCTCGAGAATTTTAAGATTGCATACCAAATATTAAAATAACTCAAACGAGTCTCAAGTGGTGCATAAATCTAAATGCTAAAAAGATTTTTTAAAAATAAACGGTAAAAGATAAAAAAAAACAAAAACGGCTCGTTTTATTTCAATCCTCTATCGAAAAAAAAAAGTTCGGATGATTTCTGAGATTTGACCCCAATTTTCTTGTCACGTTTCACATGGAATGAGCCATATGATTTCGTTTTTAAGTACCTACACAAACAAATTTAATAAAACTATGTTTTAAGCATTTTGAATGTCACGCTGCCAGACAGTTTTATATTTAAAACTAAATGGTTAGTTATTAATTAAATTATGTACTATTAGCCATGAAAATGTACCAAGTTCATAAGAAAGAATCCATTAAAACATCTGTATTCACAAAAAAATCGCATATAAAACCAACGATTAGGGCTGCTGTATTTAGTGTAAGTTTGAAAAGCACAAGAACCAAGAGCATGGAGGATTGTGAAATTATTGGAATGATTTTCGAAATCATTGGCGACATGCTGTTCGGGAGTAAGTTGGAGGATATAGGAGAAGTGGAACTGGATATGTTATATTAGCGAAAAACTTTTATGAAGATATAAAATATAATCATTTTCAATACAAATATTTGCTTTTGCAGGTGACAGCTCATCTGATGATGATTATGACTCATCCTCTAGCACCTAAAAATCATAAAAAAAACCTGAATAATTGTTAGCCATAAGCTTAATTCAAGTTATTAATGCAACTAAATAATACAAATAATTAACCTTCAAAGCAAAAGCTATAAATTCAACAAAAATATTCAAATAACCAATATTAAATCCAACAAAATGGACTGTTGTGAGCTGCCGGAAATATTTTTGAGTTTTCTCAACGACCTCTTTTTCTCGGACATAAGTAATTATTGTTTATATAATGGCTGTAAATAGGCTAGTAACCATATTATTTCTTATTTGTAAAGCTGACGAGGAGTACTTTGGTGATTACTACGACAACTAAAATTGAAATAATCCGGCAATCGTGATGTAGCAAGCAAATAAATTTGATATCAGCATTTACCTTTAAAAGCTTTTCAATAGGCATAATATATATTTCGTGTATTATTGACCTAAATCATGCCATCGTTTTTGATTCGAATTAAGCTGGAATTGGTCGGGCGTTTTTGTCATGGCTCATTAAAGAGGTCTGGGTCAAAACAGCTCTCGAGCGGTAATGCCATTGCATTTAGTTACAAAACGTTAAGCACACCGGACCGAATATGTTTTGGGATCTGATTGGTGGAATTTTCGAGTTCATTTTCGGACTCTTGTTTCCCAGTAAGTATTTCGATACCCCTTTATTAGTTTTGCCAACTGTTGATTTCCTTTGTTTTACAGGTTCCGGCAGTGGAGACGAACCAGATTCTGAGGAGGTGGAAACCACCTGAAAATATTATTATTTTTTACTCTTTTTCAATTGCAAAAGTTTCATGTTTTCGCTTTATTATATCTACGTAAAAAGTGTATATTTAACATAAATTGCTTCAACAGCTACTATATCTTCATAGTATTCATTAAAAGTGAGGATTATATACAGTGCGCAATTGGTACACGCATTCCAACAGTTGCCAAGCTCAAAAAAGTTTGAACTGCTTTTTCATCTCCATTTTCTTCCATTTGGGGAGCTCGTCAAATTCATAAAATGACATTTTAAAAACCGACACAAAATCATCGTGCGTGAGATGAACCTGTGGTAAAGAATAAATGTAAATAATCTGTACAAAAATATATTTTTGTTTGGTTTAACCTCTCTCTTCAGTGGATTAATTTCTGGTGGCAGCATGTCCATTTCCTGGATGAGAACTGTAAGTGGATACTTTTTGTGACCATCAAAGTCCTTCTGTCTGTTGTTAAGGAGCAGAGCTGATCCCTCATTTGCGAGGCTACAGGTACTGGGCACTTCGTTACCGAGATCCTTGCGCATTTTTTCATAGGACAGAAAGTTCTGAAAGGACATAAATTAGTATATTTTTGATAGACTCTAATATTTTAATTACCTTTCCGTAATCGTTCTGCCACGACTCAAAGAATCCCTTGAAGACATTCGGCTCCTGGAACTGCTTGACCACGGCTAATGCCGTAGCCGATCTGCGTCCGAATGGAGCGTTCTGTACATAGCTTTGGGCAATGGCCGTGTAGCGCTCCTGGTTCGGAGCCTGCGATCCCAGCCAGACGTAGGTAAGGGTTCCAGTGTCCAATATATAGGTGCAATCGGAACTGAGATCCTGCTGCTCGAAGCCAAGAATCTCCTCGTATCTCAGCGAGCCCTGTTGCCACCAGACCATAAATAGTTGTACCGGTGGTCTCGGTTTACTCGGCACACTGGTGTTAAGGTAACAATTATTGCTGAGCGTGGGTGAGATATTGCCACCATTTGAGCTGCCGTTGCACATGCTTCCAGCGCCACTGCTGCTGCTGGTACTGCTGGAGCACGAGTTCCCGTTTCCGTTGATCACAAGCGTTTGGTTAAAGTACATGGCCACCGACTGCCAGAACTCCTTGCTCTCCTTGCCCTCGAGAACCAAAGAGCTCTCACCCAGCAGCGCTCCAACCGACTTGGCCATCTCGCGGGCATCTCCTGTGCTACTTTGACCACACCACACCCAAACGTGATTGGTTTTGATCACATAGCAGTCTTTGGAGCTGATCGACGACAGCGGTGTCTCCTCCACAGCCTTGGCATTGTAGCTAGCATCACCGTAGACCTTCAGCAGAAATGTGTCTACCAAGACATTGCTCTTCAAGTCACCTCCATTTGTGCTCCCATTGTAAAGCATCTCGCTGCGCTGACCCCGCATAATGATCAGTTTTCCCTCGAAGATCTGAAGAAAGTGCGGCGGCTCATCGAACTCATAAAGCTGTACGAACATTCCTGGCTCCTTCAGAGCATCGAAGCTGGCCTTGGCGAACTTGTCCGCCCGGGAAATAGATTCCGCTGACGCCTCCGAACCGTTCCACTGATAGATGATGGTTTTAATGCCCACCGAGGCCAGATCTGCTGGAACAACTGTAGCGCACTAAAGGATAAGGAAGAAAGTTAATTTATATGATTACAAAAAGCGTTTAACCTTACCTGTACGCTGTACTTGACCACGTAACTGGCATTGGTGGTGAAGACCACCGTCTTGGAAAGGGGCATTTCCTGCACCTGATCTCCCCAAACCCGATAGAGCATCCTTTCGCCCCTGCCATCATCAACGAGTTGTGTGTCTGCGGCCATTTTAGGGCGTTCACATAGGGAATGGGCATCCAGCTTGCCAAACTTTGTGGACACCGGCTTGTGACCCCTAGTGTTCTCCTGCCAAACGTTCAGCCAGTTGGCAAAGAGGCGCTTAAACTCCACCGGTTCGTGGCCCTCCAAAACACGCACCACCAGCGTATTATCCGGATATTTCTTCTTTTTCACAAAAGCTCTTCCATTTCCCATCGCAGAAAGGGCATCTGCCTGGGGCGCTTGAGCTCCCACCCACAACCAAATGCTCTGGCCGTAATTATCCAGCAGATAGACACCATGGGCATCGCTCAGATCATCCTTAGCGGGCATGCCCACATCCAATTGATCCAGATGCAATCTTCCTCGTTGATTGCACTTGTAAATGCGGAATTTATTGCCGTTGTAGTCGGCGTATTCGCTGACCAACTGACTGGCCTGGCAGACCATCCGTTTCTTGAGCGGCAGCAGGGAGTTCCACACCTCCTTATTCGCCTGCGACATGGCTTGTTCGTAGCCATCGTCTACTATGGTAATGGCCGTTCCGCTGCAGTGCTTTTGAACCCAGGCGAGGGCACTGCGTCGCTCTATTCCCGAACTGGAACGGCCAATCCACACAAAGATCAGGTTATCCGTCTGAAGGACCATTATGTAGTCGGAGTTGAAGTGAGACCAATCAATGGTGGCCAGCTCAATGGATCGCAGCCATTTGCGGGCGTGCAGTTGAAAGAGGCGCGGCCTCTTTGGGGCGTTGATCAGGGCTCCCGAACGAACACTGCAAATGGAACTCGATTAATATCATTCTGATCTGATTTACCAGCTATCACTCACTCGTAGCCCTTCTTGAAATAGGAAAGGAACCTCGCACTCTCCAGACTCTGCGTTTCGCGGTAAATAGAAGATACATTTCCCAGATACGAGTCCAGCTCCTGGATTTTGTGCACCACATTGGAGCGGTTCTGTTCGCTGACATTCTTGCCCAGCCAGTAGTGAATGTATCGCTCGAGAATCACGTTTGGTTTCTGTTCGCGTGTCTATAAGTAGGCATTACTCATTAGTAAGATCGTTTTGCAAACTAATTAAGATACCTACGATGGTTTCGTGGTTGGCATAATGTCCCTGCAAACTCGCTGCGTAGATAATGTAGGCGCAGTTGTCAAAGAAGGTTCCATACTGCGATCGGGGGACTGCCTCCAGCCGATCTTCATCAATCTTCCACAGGGCAAAGGTTATCGCATTTTTTGCCACCTTGCGAAATGTGGCGTCTACTTTAAGGTCGGGAATGGTGTTGGGACGGACCTCCTGAAATTATTTAAAAATTATCAAAATGTTTAATATTTTACAATATACTCAGTTGTAAAAGTTTTAGAATTTATATTTATTTATATAATCTTTTAAAGCTTTCGCTCCATAAGTTTAATAATGGTTTGATAAAATAATTTAGAAGTAATAATAATATAATAGTTCTAAAAAAAATTAAATTAAATTAATTAAATTTATAACGAATTTATTGAAATTAAAATTAAGTCAGATCATATCATGTCCTTCCATGGGCCAAAATGAATTGTAATTTATAAAGCGAATAAACTCAATTTCTTGACTATTCCCCTTTCTTAGTTCAAATCGCAAGAGTTCAAGCGGTAAGGACGTAGCGTAACTCGAAGCAATCGAATGAATCAGGTTTTATTAAATGAAACTCCATCTGTAATTACCATTCTGAGCTCCCATTTTCACTGCAAGGTGACCATGTCACTAGCAGGTTGTTCGAACAGCATTTGCCACGACATTAAACACCTTTCAAACGGCCAATTGTTGCTGTCATGAGACACTTTTCAAAGCCCCCAGGATAAAAACCAAAATAAAAATTAATTGATTTTTTTTATAAACTAAAGAAAACCGAAAAACTGAAAAACCGAAACCCGTCTGGAGAAGTGCTCTGCATCCGATTGGCGGCACAAGTGATAGTGAAAACTAAAAGTGAACAGAGGCGGGCGTGAACCACATCTAACCACATACATCGGTGGTGCAGCCAGTTTTTGTTGCCTGCTGTCGAACATTATGTTTTTATTTATTTATGGAACGCAGCAAGGTGGAAAGTGGTTGCCAGCCATTGGGTGCAGATGTATATATATATTTACTGCATCTTCAACTCGATCTTGGCTAACGGTTTGGGGTCATTAGGCTGCCTTTGGCTAATTAATGTTTTGACTTTGGAGCCATTTCATTTGGACGCTGTTGTGATTACACTGGCGTGCTCAGTGACCAAAAACAAGTTCATGCTTCGCCTGGCAACGTAAGTTACTCCCACAAAATGTCATTTCATGGAAATCACAATCACAATAATAATGACTGGCTTCTCTGGGCCTGCTCATAAATAAGCAATGCATAAAATGCGCTGCACACATAACATGAAAACATTTTAATTGTCGCCTGCAAATGGCGAAATAACTCGGATTACTTTAACTGGGGTTGGGTTAACCAGGTTTTCCAGATCTCTGGCTCCATGATTGATTGATCTTCACTGTTGACAGTTAAACTACATTTGTCATGGTCTCTCAAGAAAAAAGTGAATCAAAAAAACTGACACAAGTAAGTTTTTTCTCCCAACCGCAAAATTATAACATTTTTTGTCAGTCTTTGTTTTTAGAGTTGATGGCCCCAAAGAGACTTTCACAGCCACCAATTAGCGACATTAATCTTCGCGAAAGCTGATAGATGAAGTATTCTGAATAGAACGCCAAAAATAAATTATGATACCCATATATCTTCAGTGAAGCCTAGCGCGAAAATTAAACGACAGCTATTGTCGTACATTTTTACTTTCTTTGGGGTAAAGCTATTAACTTGATGGATGAAGCCGAAAAATTTAATTGCTGGCCATCGATTGCTTTAAACGTCAGTACAAATTGGGAGCAAAGTTTAGTTTACTACTGAAGTAAAAGTAAATGTTTTAGACCACAAAAGAAAGTAATTTTAATGAGATCTTTAAATAAAACTTTTTTTTTAAGTTTAAATAAACTAGTGGATTCTTATAAGGTAAAGACTATTACTTTTTTTTTCTAATTTTTCATTTAAGTTTAAATAAACTAGTAGATTCTACTAACGTAAAGACTATTACCTTTTTATCTCCTTTTTTTCTTTTTTATGCCTAGTACTCACTTCAATCGAAAAGCCTACGAAATGAAAATCTCCATACAAATTTTTGATCACAAAATGTTCCGCCTGTCATTTTTGTATAGAAATTTTCGTTTCGTTGCCTTTTTGATTAAAGTGAGTACTAGGCC